ACCTTTCATCACCAAAAAACTAACCGGATCCGCCATTATTTTTTTACATTCTCGCATAGCTAAAATCCTGTAGAATGCCAGCCACAATGGCCGAGTTGAACACGTGACCTCTTAGTGCAAGTGGCCTATTATTTTATAAAGACTTTTCTTGAACGATTTATAACTACAATCTTTCTTTAAATCCTTGTCTATGCATAAAAAAGTTTTGCTTGAAAATGATCTACGAGTTYGTTGAACTGCTACAAAAACTTAGGAATAATTCAGAAAACTGTAGTTGAATAGAACGGTCATATGCGTCGCCAACATGGACTTTTTTGCTTCGATAAAAGTTTGTGCATGAATGGCATGCGCAGTGACGCTAGTAAGCGAATGCCATGCGCAGTGTGTCCAAAAAAATGGCTCCCAAGAGCTGGAGACAGTATGCCAAACTTAAGACAGTGGCACTAATCATATATATATATGCATGGAGAGAGAGATAAATGTATATTTATATAATTATTAATTCCCTTGACGCCAAGGGAAGGATATTGAAAGTCCCGAGGCCCTCGAGGCTGTGCATTCGTGGTTTCACTTGAGTTTGGAACATATATTCTGAAGCCATTCCAAGTTAGATAAAAGCACACACCATAGGAAAGGGACCTCGATTTTTTTCACCACAAAAAAAATCAGTAACGCGCATTTTTTCGACGCTTTTTAAATATCAAAATAACCAACGGAAAAGAGCGCGCTCATTGACGTTAGCTTATTTGTCTGTCCTTTCATCGATCATAGCCAATCAGCATGTGAGAAATAAACGATTTGCGCGTAACTAACTCTTACTGATTCCCACGCGTGCGTAGCATTGAACTGCCTCTGGCAGAGGTTCATCTTGCAGTAATAGAGAGTTTTAGATTGACTTTTTTCCTCCTTTTTCTGTACTTTACHTTTTACAAACCTTCTCACCAAAGACAACTATTCTTTTGTTTTTGTGGTTAGTCCGTCGATAGACGGCTAACCACTATGCTATCGCGTAGCGTGAACCACTTCCCCTCCCCTGGTAGGGCGAACCATTTTTCGCATTTTATGCAGTAAGTTTTTAACTTACTGAATTTATTAGTTCATTTAACTGTTAGAGCTTTCATTATACATCTCTAAACAGTGGAATAACAGTTTTCATGGCCGATCTTGACAGCGAAATTGCAAAAACAAAACGGCTGACCAATTTGTGCCGTGCTGCTGTGGGCCACTAGACCTTCCCCCCTGGGGTTACTTGTTGCAATCGTGCCACAAATCATGCTTCCTGTCATCTATCCAGGTCATGTTCGGTCATACTTTCGATAAAATAGTATGCCATTTTCACTCGTGGATTACATCATCATTTAAACCATAATTATTTCTTTTCCTCGTGGCTCGAGTTGCTACAACAAATTTTCTGCCGTCTTAATCGAGTCTGGGCCCAAGTAAGAGCGCACGACAGTCTCGACAAGATAGTCTCATACAAAACAAACTCATTACTAAGATACTGAAAACTATAAATAAATAAATAAATAAATAAATAAATAAATAAATAAATATAAATATATATTGAAAAAACAATATTGAAAACTATTAGTATATTGAGCCTCCTAATTGGAGGATAAATGAGGCCGTAATTTACAGGATATATTCAGCTCTTCAGGGAATTTAATATAAACAAAGTAACAACAACAACAACAACAA